AGCGATGAAATTTCCTAATAATGCATTTCTCAGAATGTATACCCATTGTTAAGTGACACGTGACTGTTCTGATTCAGCTTACATTCCCTTTTTTTCTTTTTAAGTAAAAAATAAAGAAAAAATTGTGATAAACAGCTTTAAAAAACTTTTTTAAAAAGATTGCTCTTTAAAAATAATTTTGTATTTTAGAGTTTTAAAGTATAAAGGAATAACCATTAATATTCGTGTATATAGGAATGTCAATTTTCATTTAAATAATATGTCTCTTTATAAAGAGAAAAAAGAGACCCTTATCCTTTAAATTCTCTGAACTTTCATGCATACTTGATTGATCTAGGAACTATGCCTAGAAATGTTTGAGGAACTTAGAAAAACAAAATGTGTACACTAAGTTTTCTGTAAAGGATTTAATACAGTGTAAGCAACTTATTGAGAAGTCACAAGTTTTGAGGGATAAACTAAAATATGTGCTCCCTTAACTGGTTTGAAAATGGCTTCACCCTCTTACAGGCAGCTGGTTCAGCTTCATTAAGTTTAGGTAGTTTTCGGTTAGTACAACAGTCTTGTATTGGTATATGATCTAGACTTCCCTCAGCCTCAAAGTAAATCTTTTCTCCCCTCCCTCAGCACTGCTTGGAAAATTTCTCTGTCTTTCTCTCTCTACATCCCCCCAACCCCCTAGCTCTCTGTCTTTCTTTCTCTCCGTGTGTGGGTGTGTGTGCATGTGCACGTGCATGTGCATATGTATGGGAGAAACTAGTAGGATTTCTTTTGCCCCTCTCTCTTCTAGGTAGCATCCCCTCTTGGTAGAGTACAGAGTGGGAACTGAGAGGAAGGGATGAGACCGAATGAGTCCATATTCAACTGGATGTGGTTGAAAAACATTCAGGTGCCCCTAGATCCTGGTGGATCCTAGCTGATGGCCTTCTGAGGAGAGGGAGAAATTTCCTCTTCCCTCCTTGGGTTCTTAGGACTGATCAAATAATCAGATTGACATGAAACAGGCTAACAAGAGAAAATCAAATTTAGTTTGTACACACAGGAATCCCACATGCATGACAGAGTCAGAGACCCTGTACACAGGAGAGGTTCGGAGACAGAAAGCGATGTTTGGTGTATGTGACATTCTGAGCTAAGGATGAGGTAAGACTCCTTGGGGCTCTAGAGTGTCACTTCAGGATAATAAGAAGAGAGGATGTTCAGTAATTAGTAGTTTTCTTTGCCATGTGGAGAAGTGAAAAGAGGTTATTTCTGATTATCTCTTATTGTGGGTAAACTCCCTAGTTCAAATTCTAGGTAGTTGAAGAGTGGGGGGTAGAAGTTTCTCTTGAGCCTGAAAGGACTCTGTTGCCTTTGGCTCAAAATAACCCATGTAACACAGAGACCTGCTTTGGAATGACTTGTTCTGATCCCTACAGCCACATGCTACACTCATGTGATGTTCACCTCTTGACTCTCTACCTCAGTGGGCCTGGTAAGGCTGCAGCCCACTAATCTCCCCTGGCCTCCACAGCCAACCCTCGGGCTGGGGGCCTGAATAGGAAACATGTTCTGAGTGCTCCAGAGGACTGAGGAGTTTGTGGGGATGGGGAGAAGGCAGTTTGGGTCTCCTACTGGAGCAATACCTCACCAGACTCTCCCCATTGCCTTTTCCCCTGCTCTGAAGCATGACGTGGGTGATACCAGCAGGCCCACTGGCTAGGCAGAGGTTCCCACAGACACTAGCTGCTCTCCCTTCGTGCACTCCCTCTTCACTTCCTGAGGGACTCTGCTGCATGCCTCCCTTCCCTGGTGTCTCTCCAGCCTCCTGCAAATGATGGCTCACTAGCTGGTTCTCTCTCTCCTAACTTCATCACCCACATGAGGCTCAAGAAAACACCTAGATGTTTTCCTACACCACTTGAAAACATGGGAAATACAAAGGGACAGTCACTCTCCCCTAAACATTCCTGAAAACAATCTGGCCATCAGAGTTTCTGATGGGACTGTTGAGGTCAGATCCTCTTTGCTCTGATGAGGTCTAAGCTCTCTTCCCAACTTCTCTTCCCAACTCCCCTGGAGGATGGGGGTTGAGCAGGGGAAGTCCTTGCTCTTCCTGCTCAAGTTTCTTTTTCATTATTGTCTGTTTACCTGGGTGGAAACATTCTTAAAAACAAACAAACAAAAAAAGCAGATCAGAATATCTGGAGAGTGGAACAAGTGTCAGGAATGTTTTAAAGCCCCCTGGGTGGTGTTGATGTATAAAAGGGCTGGGGATCACCTGCTCTAGAAACACCAGCACCTAGTGGTCTGGGAGGGAAAGAATCCATTGGTTAACACCTCTAATAGCCACAAAATGCAGATATCCAGGCACAGAAAGGCTAAGAAACTTGCTTTTGGTTACACAGTTAACTTTCAGTGTGAGAATGTAATGGACCCCAGAGCCCACGTTGCCCTTCAGTCTGTTTGTGGTGTTCGTGAGCCAGAGCTACATACTTTATTTGTCCTTTCCTACTGCTTCCTCTTATTTCTGTGCCCTGCTCTCCTCCCAAGAGCACCTTGAGTATGTTATGTTACAAATGGCCTAGAACTTGGTTAGACAAGGACTGCTGAATACACTTTGGACATTTATGATTTCCACTGCATCCCCACCTCTGCTGAAAGATCAACTCTGCAGGAGTGAACCAGGATTGCGTTGACTTAAACACCTACTCTTTTCTTTTCCCTGTGAAGCAGCTGCAAAGATGAAGAACAAGAGGATGTAGATGACTGTTTACTAAGCTTTAAGGAAGTTAAGAAAATTCACCTTCCTGAGTGACAAGGAAAAAGGAAGGGCATAACAATAGCCTTCCTTGGCTAAACCATTATTTGGGGGTTAACACAACATACCTAAGTTAATTCCTTCATCCTTTAAGAGTCAGCTGGGGCAAACATCTTTAAAGAAACATTCCTTAATCTCTTCAGCAGTCTGAGTTAGGAGACCTCCCTCCCTGCTGACATGCACACTGGGCTCACCTCGGGCCGGCACTTATCATATTGCACTGCTTTATAAAGCATCTGTTTATCCCTCTTGTCCCCAGACCATGAACTCCCTGGGTAAAAAGAAACAGGCCTTTCACTTGTATCCTTAACATCTGACACAGTCCCTGGTTCAGAGAATATTCAATAAGCATTTCTAATGAATATCAATATTTTATTATTATAAACAATTATATTAAGGGGGTAGCAGCTTAAAATTTTATAAATCAGAAAAATGAGTCAGAGTTTAGATGAAGGTTAAATGACTCAAGCTGGAAAGTCATCGGCTATTTTTGGTTCCTTTTAATAGCTGGGAGTCAAGCCTAACCTGGTGTTTAATTTCCAGGGTAGAGAAGACCAGAGCAACTGAATAGACTATAAACTGATTTAATCACTGATTCTATTTTTTTTAAATCACTGGTTCTAACTTATCACTTGGTGTATCCGTGGTTACTACCACCAAAAACCATTTAAAACCTCCTATGCTTGGTGTTCTATAGAGCAATTTTAAGGTCAATGATTACAAATCAAGGATATCTTGAACATAACAATGAAACACTGATATCGTTTTACACGAGCCAGGAAATCATGAATGCTCCTTTTCTCAAGCAAAAATTTAAAAGTACATTAGTGTTTATTAAGTCTGTGCTTTGAAATAGCTTGGGTCTGGACAAAATAGAACCTCCTGGTCAGTTAATTATTTATTCACTAATTTCTTTTTTGAGCTATGAATTTGTATAAGGCTCTTTGGTAGGAAATATGTGGGGCTCAATATGGGACTGACACTTGGCCCTGACAGACTTTTACCATCTATTTTAAGGAAGAAAAAAAACTCTGAAAAAAAATAGTAAACCATAACCAAATGTAAATAAATACATTTCCTTTTATAGATGCAGATTGTGTACATGTGAAGAAAAAAAGGGAGATCTGCAACAGCTAATGACCTGAGCAGGTAAGACATGAGCTGATAATCTTTAGTCCCTGCCATGTTTGTGAGTCAAATTGCCAGGACAGGCTTGGAATAGAACTGCAAATTTCTAGTCTTTTCTTGAAAATGTAACTGCTCCATTAACCTATAGACATGGCCTATTTTTTAAAAAATGTTTATTGACTTAAGAGAGAGAGGAAGTAGAGAGAGAGAGAAAGAGAGAGAGAAATATCAATGTGAGAGAGAAACAATGATCAATTGCCTCCCGTCTACTTGCCAACCAGGGGTTGAACCCACAGCCTAGGTATGTGCCCTGACCAGGAATGAACCAGGAACCTTTCAGTTATGGGACAACACTCCAACCGCCTGAGCCACCCTGACCAGGGTAAGTTTTTGGACTAGAAAATATATACACAGTTGATTTATTATTTGTAAGTTCCATATTTGTGAACTTGCCTCATCACTAAAATTTATTTATGACACCAAAATCAATGTAGCATTTTCATGGCCATTCCCAGACATTGGTAGAGCCCTGAAAAATTTGGGCCAACAGATGCATACCTTCCCAGCTGAGGTCAAACAAGGCTAAGCTCTACCTTCTTATTTCAGCTCTCATACTGTAAATAAGTACCCTTTTCACAGACTCCAATTAAACCATTTTTAGGGGCATAGGGGGTGGGGGGGTGCTATTTAAAATAGCCCTAGTGCCCTAGGGACAAAATACGTACATTGAAAAGGGTAATGAGTTAACCAACAATATATGTTGAGGTACCTTTAAACTGAAACTCACAGAAAACAAGATTATATATTGGTCAGTTAAAAAAATGTTGAGTCCAGAGGGTAACAAAAGTCAAACAGTATTTCCACCAGGAGCAATAATCGTTCAGTATTGTAAATCCTCCCTCTTTCCTCTCTCCCATGGTATTTGCCCCCTACAACCGAGTTCAGGGCGTTCTTGAGCTCGCTGAGGCATTTATTTGGCCTGAGTTCTGGGCCTGAGCCAGGAGGGGGCGCGCTCCTCCCAATGCGCAGAGTGGTCGGCAGGTGGCGCCCACCGGTGGGCTTCCCCCACACCCCCGCCACCCCCGCCCGCAGGGCGGTCTAGGCCAGGTGGGCTGGAAGGAGCCGAGGTAACCAGAAGCGGCCAGTGGTGGCTGCCGGAGGCTCCTCTTCCACTGCACGCAGAGCTCGCGAAGCGCGTGCAGAGAGAGGGAGCCAGCGGCAGGGCCAGCTGCGTTCTGAACTCGGGCACAGCTGTCTGAATCTCTGCGAGCACGCTCCCGCCGCCCTCAGCCCGAAGTCGGCCACCATGGAGGCGCAGGCACAAGGTGAGTGGTCGCGATCGCCCTAAGGGTCAGCTCCCCCGCACGCATCAAGGCGCTTTTCTTGCATCATTCAACTTCTCGGACAGAGCGGACCGGTGCCATCTTCACAGGTCCGCAACTCTGCTCCTACCCGAACCCGCGGGCTGATTCCTGCTCCCCAACCTCAGGGTTTGCTGTGGGGTTGGGGACCAGCAAAGGAGACGTTAAGTGGAGAGGTTCCTGCGGGGGAAATACCCCCACGGAATACTGCCCCCTCTTTTTCCCAAGTAGTCGCCCCCGCTTCCTGAACCTTGCAAGTGCCCAAAGGACCTGTTGTGCAGGGTTAGGAATCCGCATTTCGTTTCTTTTCCCGCGATGGGTGGGGGAGGGAGGGCGGCTTCCGTCGCCCTGAGCGGTGGGTTTGCGTTCTGCAGCCCCTAAATTCCGGGCTGTGCGCGGGGCGCGCGGTGGTGGTGGCTCCGCGGAGACCGCGGTCTCCCAGATACGCTAGAGGCTGGCCGGGCGGGGACCGGCCTTCCCCGGCGAGGAGAGCTCTGCCCGCCCGCTGATCAGCAGCAGACCAACACGTTGTGTCCCTCTTTCCCGAGCTCCGGGAGCACCCTCTGCCTCCCCAGGCACACGGGGTCCCTGCCGCGGTCCGTTCTCCCCGCTCCCCACTCCTGGGGCCGCCAGCTGGAGGAGCCCGCGGTGGCTTCACGATGGGCATCCTCATATCTGGATCACATGCGGACGAGGGTTAGGGAAGCCCGATGGAATCTTGCAGGAACAGGAGTAAACGGACTGTGGAGAGGAGCAGAGATGGGAGGATGTGAAGGAAGAAAGCTGATTTTGGGATCTCTCTTGGGAGCAACGCCGGCAAGGGATGGGATGAGTTCTGCTTTATTCAGCCTGTAAAACCACCATCACGCGTTTCTTATACAGGGTAGGGAATTCTGTGGTGACTTTTAAGGTAAATAAAAGAACAGGAGGTTCCTGCGCGCTAGCTCTCTCCGGGCAGAAGCGCCCTGAATTAGAGCAATTTGGGGCGGGGGCGGGGGCGGGGGGGGCGGTGCGGGGGCCTGTGGCCATCCAACAGGTTTGCTGCCAGGATTACAACGGTCTGAACAACGTGAACCATACTTGTTTGTTCCATCAGCCAAGATCCTGCCCATTGTATAAATAAGAAAGAATTCAACTCCCTTGAGGTTGGTCGAATTCAAAGAAGCGGTCGGCTAGGAGGCCTCCCCTCCTGAATTGAAGCAGATGGGAACAGCACTGGGGTTTTCCAACCAGACTTGCAAATTAGAATTATTTGGAGAGTTTTCAATACTGGCTGTGGCTAATCCCAGACCAATCAAACTGGCATCTCTGGGGTCTGGGCATGGGTATGTTTGAAAGCTTTCCAGGTCATTCTTTTACTTAGTGAGTTGGAGAAAAACTAATTCCGAAGACATCTGAAACTGCAGATTGGAAACTCCGGTGTCATTGGTTTGCCTTACTTGAGAGATTTACCTAACAGTCTAGTGCTTTTCTTTGCCAAGCACTGTGCTAGGAGACACAAACACAGATATGATTTCTGCTTCCTGAACTTTACAGTAGAGGAAGAGACAGGCAATTAATTTGAAAGCTATTTGTTAAATGCGAAATTTCAGCCCTGTTTATGGAATGAAAAGAGGTCCACACAGTGCAGGGAACGCCTGAAAAATGTTAGCCTGGTAGGTGATAATCAAAATAGTGAGGTTTGTTTACTGTGCACCTGCTTCTGTTCTTTGTGCTTTGCACTTGTTGACTCATTTCTTCTTCCCAATAGTCCCATGAGGTAGGTAGTGTTCCCATTCCCATTTTATGGAGGGAGAGTAGGCACAGGATGTAAAGAAATTTCTTGTAAATAAAGTAGGTCATGAGTAGCAGAGTTGATGCTTGGGTGCCCCGTTACTGCGCAAAGCCTACCACTTTCCGAGGAAAGAGAAAACCTAAGTCTCTACCTACCTTCCCCTGCGCTCTCTGCCACTCTTCTCCTTCCCTCATAAATGGGTGGAACCTGAGCGGTTGGGAGGGTAAATTAAAAGGCAACTGAAATAGGGCTAGGGAGACCTGGATTAGGGCAATGGTCAGCCATGAGGAGAACAGCGAACAGGTTTTAAAAACAGGACGAAAATCAAAATCACTGTGATTGGAAATGAAGGAGGGGGATCCCAACTTGACACTTTTACAACCAGATGGATGATATTTACCTCTTAAATCTTTTATTTTCTCAATACTTTAAGTTTTTCATTTTAAGACCCTTTTTTGTTATTTAAGTTTTTCAATAAAACTATTCACAAAATGTTTATATTAAAGATGAAAGCTTTCCACTTGGCATATTTTTGTGGCTAAATGAAGTTGACTCTTAAATTCTAAGAGAGTCTTGTGCAAGTTTGTATCATCAGCACAACTTATTTTAGAACTATCTAGAGTGGTAATGGCTTATCTTCCTTACTGTTGATGTAGAGAGGACAGAGATGAGTTAGCTTAACTAGGCAGCTGCTGCTCTGTCCCCTGGATTTTCCAGGCACCAGCCAGGTGCTGTGGACACTATTTGCACGGACTCGTATAGTGAACAAGCAGCCAGCCCTAGGAACTTTTCCGTAAGTGAAATTCTGCAAATGTGTCCTTTGACTTCGTAAAAGAAAAGATTATGTTCAGCAAAACAAGGACACATCCTGGGAAGTCAGTAGAGCAAAACAAATTCAGAAGTGGAATTAGGAGGCAAGCGACCCAGTGAGGGGGGGCTAGAGACGAGGATGGCATGGGGGCTGCCCAACTCCAGGGGTCCCAGTTGCCTTCCTGGCACTAGAGAGGTTGCTGTGATACAATGGTATGTTAGAGAGGAATGTGGTCAGGGATGTAGCATTTTCCTGAAACGTGGTAATCCTTTAAAATAAAAAGTTCCTGATCTTTTTAAACTGCCTTACAAGATTTTATTTTTCTAGGAAATAACTTTGTTTTTGTCTTTAATGTTGGAAGAAAAATTTTCTTTCCATTTACTGGTTGTATAATATTCAGAATAATAGTTGTTTGAGTTTCCTACGACTGCTGTAACAAATTACTACAAAGTTGGTGGCTTAAAACAACAGAAATCTAATCTCTCCCCATTCTAGAGCTAGAAATCAAAAGTTGCTACCACTGGACCAAAATCAGGGTATCATCAGGGTTTCTCTTCCTGTGGATGTGCTGAGAAAGAATTTGTTTCTCGTCTCTTGCGGCGTCTGGTGGCGGTGGGCCGCATTCATTGGCTGCGTCGCTCCCATCTCTGTCCCCTGGTCCCAGTGCCATCTCTGCTGTTTCAGATTTTCCTCTGCCTCCCTTGTCTAAGAACACTTGCGATTTCATTTAGAGACCACCCGGATAATCCCAGGTCATCTCTCCATCTCAAGATTCTTAACTTAATCACATGTACAGAAGAGCCTTGATATGCTTGGGGGCCTATTACACTGACTGTTTTTTATATTCCGATATTCTAGTCCGAGGGTTCTCAGAAGTCCATAAATGGCATAAAGTAATACATGTTATATTAATCCTGCCTGATGGCAAATTTCAGTAAAGTGAAAATGTCCTGCATACCTTACATTGTACTTTATTCACAGGATATTTATTCACTCACACCTTTTTCCAAGAAGAACTTAGAGCAATTTATGGAGATATATGAAACACAGCAAGATAATGTAAACTAGAAATAGAAGAAATAAAGTAAACAGGGATAAGAACAGAAAATGAAGCTCTAGAAAAATAAATACAGTTATATCCTTTTTATTAATATTGCATGGAAAACAAATTCTTGCTTTGTGAACAAAGTATGTTCACAAACAATAAAATAAGCCTGCCTCCCCCTGCCAAATAGCAAAAGGCCAAATCTCTTATATTGTAGGGATCAGATCACCCAATGAAAAATTTTCTTTTGCAAATTTCAGTCAGTTAAGTATAAACCTCAAATATTGGGAGCTAGATGTTCTACATTTTGAATTATGATTTGTAAAAGTGTTATTAAGAGCACTCTTACTGTCCTCAGAGCTATGTCCTATTGTTTTAATTTTCTCTAAATAGAAGTTTCAAAGTAGGTAGCGATGTATACACAAGATGAGGTCAATCATTTGCAACACATCATATACCATCATTGCAATTAAAATTCTTATAAAATCCAATAATGCAAATGATAGATATTATTGTATATGGCAGCAATTTTATTTCTTCACAATGGACAGCTATTGTTGTGTTGGCTATTGTCATTTTTTAAATTTGACAATCTAGGGGAAATAAATAGCTAGGTATTGCCTGTTTTAAAAATTCTTGTGGCACACCCATGTTGAAAATTGCTGGTCTGTGGGAACCTATTTTGAATTGCCATCCCTAATATACATCTTGTTTTCTTGATACTCTTGGTAGGCAGAATCTGAGAAGTTGCTTTATAAAACTTATCAGCAAAAGGGTCCACTTTTGTGGCCTATGATAAGATTTGGCACTTAATGAGCTATTGTAAATAATAAATAAGTATACAAGTATTGACTTGTCAAATAAATATTTCAAAACTATTTATTTATTATTATAGGAATAGCAAATATTTGACAAGCGCTTGATATTGAGAGACAACAGGGGATAATGGTTACACTTGCAGATTCAAGGCAGACTGCCTGGATTTTAATTCTGCGAGTGTCACCATTAATATGACCCTGAGCAGGTTACTTCATTTCTCTGAGCCTTTTCAATATGAAAAGTGAGGGTAATAATAGCGCCTAGGTCAGGGGATTGTAATGAGGATTTAACAAGAAAATACAAATGGTGTTCTTAAAACAGTGTCTGGCACATGGTAAGTACTGTATAAACGTTTGCTGTTACTTTTAGTAGCATATGACAAGAACTTCACATGCATTATTTTATTGAATCCTTATATTAACACCATGGGATAGATACCACTACTTTTAACTCAATAATTAACAGGGAAACGGAAGGTCAGAAAAATTAAGTGAGGAAGGCAGGATTCAATGCTA